TATACTAATGTGCCACAAACAGGACTTTAATATCACCAACCATTCCCATGTTATTACGGTGTATCCATATAAATGGCCCACCCTGTAATGAAGAGTGGGAACTTAACTTTGAGGCAAAAATAAACAACCTTGTGCTCAGGATAAAACAAACTTGAGAGAAGTTTGAAATACAGTAAGTCTGCTTTGCTCACCAGACAAGAGGGGATCAATAAACACTGAGGTTATTGAATTTGTTCCAAAAACTCGTAACTGCAGTTCTGTAAGTTATGGCACAACAAAACTTAAGCACAGCAATGCAACATACATTTGAACCAGGCAGCTTCTTTAATAAATGCAGCAACCTTGGTTCCCCAACAGGGTTGAACACCCATAGGACAACCACAATCACATAACAACTCCAACAAATCTTAAATTGTACAACACAGTTCAATTTTCATGACTCGTGAAAACAATACCAATGAACCTCTTCCAAGCTGCACCTTGAAAAACCTACACCTTGTCACCTTGAAGAAAATTTGGCAAAACTGTTTATTATCATATAATATGCATATTTACCTGGGATCTGACACCACAGCAATGCAAAATTTTAATATGCACTAAAATGTCATGCTTGATTCTTGAATTGCAGCTACAGAAGACACCAAGGCTATCTGCTCAACCAATCAAAATACTTTCACTTTAAACTGTGACAAACTGCAATGATTCCCACGTCTCTTTTATTTGACGCAATAAGCTTTAATGTTTAAAGAACACCTTAGAAATAAATAGCAGCACAGAGAGCACACTCAGTGATTAAAATACTTAACTAGAATTTAAATGTTTATTTTACGGCTCTGTGTGCTAAATCACCAGATTAATGATCATGTCTTGTCCTTCTGACAGTGTCGAATTTTATTAGTATAGTTTATGTTCTTTATTGACTTTTAATGACCATTTTATGTTTTTGTTGTAGATGTCACAGGCATAATTTTCAGTGGAAGAGTCATAAGATCCATGAAATGAAATGGTCAAATGCTGCCAATGCCACGGCTTTTGTGTAAATGCGCAATTGAATCCCTGGGTTAAATAGCCAGTTAATGACCAGTTTCATTTATCCTGACCGACAATTAGGGTAAGTGAATCCAGATAATGGAAAGATATCCTGGTATCCTGAACAAGCTTTGTAGTATAGGGCCCTGAACTTGTTTTGTTTTTTGATATCTTTAATTTCTCTTTGCTATTTGGGATTAATTGGACCTGATATTGTAAGTCACCATTGTTTTGCGAAGTATAAAAACAATATTTTGAATATAAAGATGTATAAGATGCAGTAATGAGGACATGTGGTGTCAGGAAGGAAGAAAGTTTTTTTTTGTAGTTGATGATATCATAGGGTTCCTTCTGTTATATTAAATGGATTTAAATAGAATTAAATGTGACCAGTCTCACAGCTATGTCCGGAAAGTGCCTTCATCTACATGATAGTAGGCTTAGAAGGCAATGATAATTCAGTGTGGTCTGTGTTAACTAGAAAGTATTCTCAGTGTGCTTTAAATGCATACAATTTTATTGCAAGTGAGGTTTAAGATGTTCATTTCACAGGAAATGTCAATGAAAAGGGCAAAGAGTTGCAGATAAGGATCACGGAGAACACATGCTGATAGTGGATCCACTTTGTGAGACTTGTCTCAACTAAGAGTTGCTGAGGTTTAGGATCTGTGACCTTGACAACAATGCTGGTTATGTTACTTATACAGATACTCCATACAAATTTGCATTCAATTCAAATTCTCTTCCCATGTGAGCAACACAGGGAAACAGCATTAAGCAGCAACTTTTTAACTTTTGTAGCTGATTAATTAGTCTGTAATTAAAGGACTTGAACATATTTGTGATGTGCTTGTTTTTTTTGTTTTGTTTTTTAAACATGCTAAGAGTAATCTGGTGTTCAGATCCCAGAAGATCTATGTGACAAACTTGAGATTTTGACAGTCCTGATATAATTCACGGTTTAACCCTCACTACCTTATATGTTTCATGGTCAGTTGGATTGTTTGGGGTTTTTCCAATTGTGGCTGTCCACCCCTTTGGCGTGGAGCTTCCCACGTCTCACCTGGGCCTCGTCTACATGCAATCAGCAGGAGGGCTTTTTAAACCCGGAGCAGTCTGCCATTCCTCGCCAGTTTGTTATGTGCCTTCCAGCAGTAACTGGACAGCTCACTTGTGTAACTGTGGTAGTTGACTTTTCCTCATGTAACCTTATTCTCCCTGTGTACAGAGGGTGTCACTTCCATAATTTGGACTTGCCGGGAGGAACTTCCTTTCCTCTGCTCTGGGAATCTCTGGCTGCCTTCCCTGCCTGCTTGCCTGCTCTCCTGCCTGCCACTGCACCCCGGATAATCTGGCTGCTCAACTACCTCTGAACACTTCCACAAACCTCCCCTCCTCAGAGCCCTGCAAGTATGAAGAAAAAACTCACCAGCAAACTCCTTTCTGTTACCAGCTCCTTACCTCATGACAATAAATGCTTCTCCATCTTCTTGCAGACCCCTCCTCATCCCTCTGTTCCTCGTTGCCACTCTCCCCTTTGTGATCCAGCCCTTAGGATCCCCTCTCCAGAGCCAGTTGATTATTTCAGTTAAATAAAATCTTTATAAATAGTTTCCTGGTGTGTCTGCATTTCAGGCAAACTGCTCGGTTTTATGACAATATGACCTCTTCTTTTTAAATTAAGAGATTTAAGGGAAAAGTCTAATTGCAATCTTTGCAATACAGAACTGACTCAACTGGTTTACAAATGGTTGTATTCTGATGGTATTTCCTATATGAGAGGAGATGCCAAAGTTGCCATTTTATGCTGTCCTGCAGAAACTATGTCCCTGTTTGTGAAGGAACTTTACAAGAGTAGTGAATGGGAATTCTATTTAATGTGAATTTCTGTCTCGATAGCAACAGATTCATAAAAGAATCGGATTTTTCTTTTTGCCACCTTGACGCCACCTTGATAAATTTACCTTATAGATGGCAATACATTACAAGTGTTTACAGACCTGATCCCCATCTTTGAAACAATAATTTCAAAGGCAACAAGATCATAAGTTCACTGCACACAATGATCAAGAACCAAGGAATGTTAATGAAGTTCAGTGACATGCAGTGGTGACAGGCAAAATGAATGGATACAAAGACAGCAGGATTCTTCGATAATTTTATGCTGCTTTTGAGACCACAGGACAAAGCATGTGAGAATAATTTCTGATTACCGTAATGAGTCTGTTGACTGACAAATGATGGGTTTGTAACTACTTTAGAGGATTAGATACACAACCAGAGCCTGGAGTGGTGATGAGGACTAAGACACGTTGTATCTCAAAATCCTCCTAAATATCTTTTTCCCCCATGAGCCCAGGTTTGTTTACTTTTCTTTCTTGAATGTATTTTCAGAGCAGTAATTTTTACACAATATGTGATGAGGTATTCTTTCTTTTTTTTGTGTAATCATTCAGTTTCATGAAGGCAAGATTGATCAAACTGGTTATCCAGTTTTTTGTCTTCAGGGTACACCAAATTAAAGGTTTTGTAAGATTTTTTAATCTAAAGCCATAAGGCTAACACAATTCACCAAAAGTCCTGCGACTCTTCATTGACAATAAATCCTAAGCTATTTTATATAACTGCTTTTTAAGCACTCTTAAGGTTTTCCCCTGACACATATGACATTTGTTAAGTGCAAAAATGTTAAAACAAATAAAACGGCTGTTGAACTCTAACATGTTCATTTGAAGGGAAATGTCAAGAAAAAGGGTGAAGAGCGGCAGATAGGATCACGGAGAACACGAACTGAAAGTGAATCCACTTTCTGAGACTCGGCTCACCTAAGAGTTGCTGAGGATTAGGATCTGACATGACAGGGAAAGAGAGAGTGACCTTGATGGTTTTAGGGAGAGCAAATGACTTTTCATCCAGGCTGGCTGTAAAGATGAAGGGTGCTGAGTGACACAAGAGAGCTTAATTCAGTCTGCAGGATGGAGGGGATGGAGGATAAAGAGAAAGGATGAGCAGGGAGGTGGAATCACACATTTGTCTGGCTCGGGTTATATCTGACTAAAATATGAGTCCAGTATGAGGGGTAATTTTCATCAGGCAGCCAGATAAGTCAGAATCACAAAGACACGGATTCTTTGTTATTCAGCAAGACTCAATCATAGGCATGTGTCCTCCATTGCTATCACAGTCCTGGCTGATTAGTTAGGAGTAGGAAGAGTGTTCCACTGTTATTTCTCTTTCTTTGACACATTTTTTAAAAACTTTTTTTGGTAAAAACTCACGATATCATCTTCTCTGTCCTCGTCTTAATTGTCTTATTTATTTGGTCACCTCAAATTAATGTTTTTTGTCATGCATTTATTCAAGACTTATGGAAGTTTTCATGGTTTGTATACACAAAGCAAAGTTTTTCCATTTTTAATGGTTAAAAAATAAATTGCAGTTAGATGTGTTTCTGTTGGTGCACGTAATTTTGCACACATTTTTCACATCTGAAATCACAGGTGTGGCTTTTCATCCCTAGTGACTCACATCTGCAGCATGGCTGTAGCCATTCCTCTCTATGTGTTTGCTGACTCAGCTGTTGAAGTGAAATGGTCTGAACAAAAGTGTGATGCAGTGATCTGATGAGTGTCTTACCCGTGCAAGACCTCACAGTGAACCTAAATGTTTGTCAGGTGGTTCAAAGAATGACTCAGTTTGAAAAACGTCAAATGGAAACCTTAGTTGGTATTACCCTAGCAGAAATGTTCTGAATTCAAAGGCATCTAGTGACAAATCATCACCTACTAATCATGGTTTGTTCAACCCTTCAAGAGACACCGGCTCAGCTCTATTTATGTTCCTTAAATCTATCTGCAGTGTGTTCTGAGCACCTGGTAACCTACCACCAAGCCCTTAGGGCGAATTAGCAATATATTTAGGAGATTTATATTTTACATAAGCCATCCTCATAGTCCCACTGGATTGTCAGACTGAAAATATCTTCAGGAGCAAATGTGTTGTAAGTAAATATTCAAACAAGATAGATCCATGCCTGAGCAACTTAACGAGGCAGTTGGTTCACATATTGTTGTGACTGACTTGTTTGAAAAAGGAAGCTCTGATTTTTATTTATTTATTATTAAGCTAAACATACAATCATATTCCATAATCTATGTGTCATAAACATTTGACACGGTTGCCTGTGATTTTGGCTCAGTTATGGATGAATGTTTATATAATCTAAAGGTAGGCTTGATTCCAGTAAATAATAACCTGTGTTTCATTTTTCATTGATGAAATGTATGTAACAGCTATCAGCCTGAGATTTTCGTGCACATAGGCACCATTGCTAAAACTCACAAATCTTATAGAGGAAAACAATAATGCGTCGAGTGGCAGTTCAGAGTACCCAGCCTTCTTGGAGTCCCTGGGTGGGGCACTGGAGGGTGCTCCCCCTGGGGACTCTGTTGTCCTTCTGGGAGACTTCAATGCTCACATGGGTAATGAATGAATGAATTGAACTGATCCCTGACAAAGCTCCATAACAAAAAGTCTTTCATCTATGAAATATTTTAACATTTTGAAACCATTATTACTTTGCCTAGTCCCATGTCTCCTCAAAATAGCCCAAGCTGATCAGTTCAGGCTTCACCTATAAACTGAAAACAAAAAGATTGGGTGACCAAACCCACCAAATTTGAACTTTACATTTTGATGTTAATTAGTGTCCATGCAAGATTTTGCAACCAGTTAGTGACCATATTTGGCAGATAAGATGAATGCACGGAGATGCATACAGTTATGATCAAAAGTTGCATACACAGATCATGGGCATGAATATCATAAAGAATTTGGACTTTTAAGCAGTTTTTTTTGTTTAATTGTTGTTGTTTTGTTTATTTCAGGATAGTCATTGTAAAGCATGCACCTTTAATGACTTTAAAAAGCACAGACTTTGCTAATCTGTACAGGGTCAAAATAATATATAGATTCACTTAAATCTTTTAATAAGTAATTTTAATAATTGGTTCTACAGTATCTTTTAACTTGACAAGACCAAGGACTTTAATTTGTCATCATTGAGCATCTTGGATTTACAGAAGTTGGGAAGTTCTCTTGTAGCAAAACACCAGCAGATTCAAAGGTCATTAGTTTAAACAACTGTTCATAAATATAAGTTATTCTGATGTGTACATTTAAAAGGTCTGAAAGAAGACCCAAACTGTCACCCTCAGATGAGAGTAAATTAGTTAAGACATCTAGGAACCACCCAGGAACCATCAATGCTCGAGCCTGGCATGAATTCGAAACTGTTGGAAACCCAGTGTCACTGTCCACAGGGAGTTTTACTTTACTAAGACAGTGTAGCACTGTACCAGTGGTAGAACAATTTGCTGTTGGTTTTGTTTTCCTTCCACCTGGACTCCTCTGTGCACAATATATCTATCTCTCTCTTTACCAGTCATAGTCTCTATGTACAGTCCCTTACATTGACATTCTTGCTTTTTCTCTCTCTCTCGCTGCCTCCTAAACCACCTTCCCCCTTTCCTCTTCTTTCATTTTCAGTCAACAGTATCACACTTTCCACCAGATCCTGTTGGTCAATAGGGTCCAGTTTGGAAATCTCATTCTTAATTATCCACATGTTTGATTTGGCAAAGATCTTGTTAATGTCAGCTATCAAGTATGGTGGTGGTACTTTAATGCTCTGTGGCTGTCTTGCTGATATGATACTGAGAGATTGTGGATAGAATTTAATGAGGAAAGAAATGTTCAACTTCACCTCAAATCAACACCTAAATAGTTAAAACCTGGACACATTTGTGTGTTCCACCAGGAAAATGATCCCAAACACAAATAGCTAGTTTTGGAATGGATGAAGCAGTCTAACACTAAACTTCTGGAATGGCCTTCTCGAAGCCCCAACTCAAACCCCATTGAAAATGGGTGCACTGCACTTAAAAGTAGCTAGTGGTTGCTTGTGTTGGGACACTTGTTAGTCAAAGCAGTTACACTCTTAAGTGAATGAGAAAATGCAGTTTTTGTCACTTCCACATTGTTCATTGAGCCCTGGAGATGGCCAATAACAGCAGGAATCTAAGATAAAAAAATGTATCTTGTGTGATCTTGGTTCATGGTATTTTAAAATGCATCTTTGATCTAGTTTTCTATTATTTTGTTATTATATTGACTTGCTTGATTCTACATTGCACACGTCACATTTAAAAGCTTCACTACAAACAAAGCTAAAAGAAAATGACCTACCTTCTGAGACTGATGATGCTTGATGTTAAAAATCTTAAAGGAAATGTCACGCTCATTTGTGACAGCTGAACCTTTGAAGGCCACAGTGGCTTCGTCAGTGCCTCACTGGACACCATGATTGATTTAAGGGTCAGTGAGTCCAATACATTTCATCTGAGCTGATCTCTGAAGAACTGATGTGATCTTAATTGAGTCTGTTACATCTTCCCAGGAAAAGAGAAGGAAGGACAAATACACAGGCCTCTGAGGTATAAGGAACATCACAGAGATAATTGATGCTCACAGTATTACATTGTTCCCTTCTGGTTCCAAACAAGAGCACTGTTGTTTGACTATATCCAGTTTGTTAAAATGTTGCAGTAGCATG